CTTATCTTGTAAATCTCTTCGGAAGCAATTATTTCTACAGACCGATTTCAGTAAAAATATTTTATTTTTATGGTTTTATTTTCATGCTAAAATCCATTGTTTTTACTGTGGCCATGAACAGTGCTACTATAGAAGGGGGGTGACGCTCAACCCTACAATGATATGTCCCCAGCATATAGAAAGCCTTCGTGAAGAAAATGTATGCTTTGGTGCACCCACATTCCATGCAATTATAACCAAAACCCTCCATTGTATTTTTCTAAACCGCAAATGATCTGTTCAAGTGTTCCATGTTGGCAGACCAAATCTGTAGCATTATTTTCAATTGAGGCATTTGATCACAAAGAAACAGATCGACAATAAAATTTCACACACAATTTTCACCCTTCAGTCAAACAAATTGATATCGACGTTAAAACGTTATTATATCGAAAGGTTAAGATTCAGTTCTTGGTAAGAATGGAAGTGAATTGTAATTAATAAAAAAAAAAAAGGGGAAAAAAATCCGAAAGCTGAAGATTTTTTTTTATCTGGATGATCTACAACTAAGGAGTGTTGAAAATTTACAGTGATGCAGTTATTGAATATGTATATTTGTTTATTTTTCAGGCTGACGTTTAAACTATGGGTTATAATACCAGCACAAATATAGAGATATCAAACAATGCTACTAGAGCCATGCAATCAGTACCTCAAGTCCCAACATTTATATTAATAGTTTCCACAGTATTTTATATATTGATTTTTGGTATTGGACTGTTTGGAAATTTTGCTGTTATTACAGTAGTGATGAAATGTAGAACAATGAGAACTGTTTTTAATATATTATTTCTGAATTTGTGTGTAGCTGATCTATTAGTTTTATTAATATCTGGACCAACTGCCATTCTTGATATTTATGCTCGTGAAGTTTGGTATCTAGGAAAAACCATGTGTAAGTATGAATTCTCTTATTGTGTAAAATATTTATTTTCCACGAAGTACAATGAATAATATGCCGTCCATAGGTCAAACCGTAAAAATGCATTTATGCACATACAGATATAGTTTGTATTTGTTATCTTATTAAACATTTTCAATTTTGCCTCAAGTCATATAAACAATGTCATACGAAACTTCGTGTCGTGTTAGTAACAGACACAAACATAATTGACTACCATTGAATTCACTACGACAGACAAAGCGGTCTGGTTTCTAGAAAAAGGATATAAATGATTCTACTTAGCTTTCAAATCACATGTATTTTATTGGCTGTATTTGGATATTAATTTGAATAAGTCAAATTACAAAACGATTATTCAAGATCGTTATGCCCATAAGGAAAGAAAGGCCGAGTCAAAACAAGATTTTCCTTTTACTCTTCTAAGCCACATTATTAACTCACTCGAACAAGATTGTGGATTTGCAAGTTTTGAAGGCGTTGGAAATATTCTTTCGATACAAACTGTTTAAAAGAAATAAAGGCGATACTTTCCTTACATGGTGGTCAACTATGTTCGTGATCTGATTATTGTAACTAAGGTCAAGTGCGGTGCATCGTATTTGACTAGAATTTGATAGCGGTTTAATCTGAAATGAAGATCAATCGATTGTTGTGATGTGGGGGATTATGTCAAGTTATGACAATGTCTCGAGGCCTCCGACATTACTTTGTCTGTTGAATTTTAAAAGCAGTTTTCCAATCTGAATTCTCAAGCTAAAAAAGGGTAGTTACGTCACAAGTTGGAAGGTAACTATAGATGACGCTTAGGAATTAAAAACTATGAAAATAGAAGTGTCCTGGGCGACATTCGAAGGCGCATATATATTGAATAGCATTCATAAGAATATAATATTATCTAATAACCAACTAATCCTTTTATCAGTGATTTGCGTATAATGCCAATAATAATCATCATGATAATGATAATAACTTAATTAGTTATTGTACAAGACAATCTTCCCTGAAATCTTTTTATATACCATTACTTATGACGTAGGCTACGATATGATAACGTTATGAAGAATGGGAAAAAGATATGAAAAAGAAAATCAAAAATGAAGTAATCTTAACAATAAAAAGGTTGGAAGAAAAGTATTTGAATATTAGTAAAATAATTATTTCATGTTATGAGTCCACTCTTCAAACACGTCGTTATTGGATTGTTTAAGTGCCAGAGAAAATAAATTCCAGAGTAAATTCGCGTTGTTCTTTTCTTTGTCTCAATATAACACATTGGAAGATGTAATGAGTTGTTAGTAGAGGGTTGTGGTGGAAATTGAATTTTGCAAGTATTGAGGACATTTTTCAGTATATATGATGTTATATTTAATTCCTTGTTAAAGAGTTAGCAGATTCAAAACACGTCAACTTATCATGCATCATAGTTAGCGTCAAGGATACTGCACGTTTTTTGTAGCTGAAATAGAAGTCAAGTTTATTCTTGATAGCACTACGCGTACAATACTACGACAGTCTAAATGTGACAGTATGTTTCCACTGGTATTTTATCTTAATTTAATGAGAAGACATATTTTTGATGGAGCTAACGAGATTAGTTTCGTTATATGCTTTCCCCATATTCAGTGATCATCCATTGTAATTCCGAGTAAGAAGCTTCCTATTATTTATAGTTTATATAACTCAGATCCC